TGCCTCCTCCCTGGCCAGGCCCCATGAGCTGCCTTTGGCAGACAAGGCTCTGCTGCCCTGCCATGCTTGCTGTGTGTGTCCCAGGGCCGCACCAGCACCCAGATCCCAGGCCAGCAGCAAGAGGAAGAAGACAGTGAAGGTCAGCTGGGGGCAGCAGGGGGTGGTGGCGATGGAGTGCAGGCTGGTCAGAAGGGCAGAGATGGGGGGATATAAGTGGGTGGAAGGAGTTGAAGCAGAGGCAAGCACGGCAGGGCAGTGAAGTCTCGTCTGCCAAAGGGAACTCACTGGGTCTGGTGGGGAGGAGGCAGTGGGATGGAGCCGGCAGTTTATGCAGGGCAGGAGAACTGTTGAGGTCAAATTAAACACATCCAGCTTGTTTGCTCTCAAGTTTATGATACTTTGCATTATGGGCAAGAGTGCACTGCTTACCTTGGGCAAAGATGGTATCTTATTTTCTCTGGGAACATGACTTATAACGTGCTTTCTCCTCTCTTCTGCTCTGTATGTTTTTATTTCTTCTTCTCCCTTTGCTGTTCGCCATTCTTCTTGCCTACTACAGGACAGAAATTCAAGCATTAAGGTTAACTTCAATGTATCAGAATTACATGCACTATTCTAATTCTTGTGGTAGGAGCCACACATTTGCATCCAAAATTCTTTGAGAATATACAACTTTGTAATAATTATGTCTACATAAATCAAACAGCAACAAGGGCTGCTTCTACAATTCTAAAATATCATATTTTGTGTAATCCACTCTAAATATGAAAAACTGTGCCTATTACCCCTAGGTAATATATTTGTGTAATTCTACCTATAAAACTGAGCAGTGCAAAATACATTTCAGAGTCTTAAGCTATTATGTTCCCCAAAGTACCCTTTCTTTTAGCACAGAGAACCCACATATTAGAAATAATAACAAAAACGGAAGCATCTATAGTATAACTAAATTAATATTAAAATCAATAATAAAATAATCACATCATACTAGCAACACACTGACAGAATCATTGATGAAGATAACAAATAAACAATAAAAGATTGTGTCAACATACTAACAGCCAAATGTTCTCCAGAACAGCTCCATCTTAAATAACCTCTGGAACATTATAAAAGATGGGGGAACCCCTTGAGAGACAACACAGGCTGACCATTAAGACTTCTATAACATCATCACCTGGCCCAGGGTAGCAATGTAAAACTGAGCATCATCAGCATACTGATGATGCATCCCAAACCAAAAGACTATCTCCTCCAGTGGTTTCACATAGATGTTAAAAAATAAGGGAGAAAGAACTGAACCCTACAGCACCCAACTGAAGAGTCACCAACTCAGCCTCTCCTCCCCTATAACCACTGACTGGAACTACCCAATAAGTAAGGAGAAGAACCACTGTAAAACAGTGCCTCTAATTCCCAGCCTTTGCAGGTGATTCAGAAGGACACCATGGTTGACAGAATGAAAGGCCACTGAGAGATTCAATAGAACCAGAAGCAGTACACTAATTCAGGTCCCAACCAGCATAGTCAGTGGAGTTTCCATCCCAGGCCTAGGCTAGAGCCCCGAGTGAAAGGGATTCAGACAATCCACTTCTTCTAAGGTAGTTTGTAACTCAGTTCCTACCACCTTCTCAATAACTTTTCCCATATAGGAAAGACTGGCTACTGCAAGATAGTTGTCAAATATGGCTGGATCCAGGGAGGGCCTTTTAAGGAAATGATGTACCACTCTCAAGTCCAACGGTATCACCTTCTCCTTCAAAGAGGCACTGCCACTAACCATCTACCAACCATCAGGAAAAGGAGCCCTTTTAATAAAAGAAAGAAAAGTCAGGTAACTTCAAGAGTATGAAAAATGATATGAAAAATACTCACAACAGCCAGGCATGAAATCTACTTGTTCATTTCTCCCTAAAAAGAAGTTGGCAACCCTGAAAGTGGCTACTTCAGAAGCCAGCCAATGTAATAAAGTAAAAGTATGAATGCACCACTTCCCTTACTAACTCAGCGCAAGCCTAATCTTGGGCTCATACCCATGCTCATTCAAATTAACTTTTCATATTTCTCCACCAGCACTCCAGGCATTGCTTCTCCTGGAGTTCCATAGTAAATCAAGGAGCCAACCAGGATCAGCAAACAGAAGGAGGTCATTCAGGAACAATCACATCAAGACCACAGGTCACTTCCTGTGGCTAACAAGGTGAACAACAAACTACCTACTAAATAATAATAATAATAATAATA